TGTAGCTTAAAGAATCACTTTTCTTAGCTTTGCTTTTGTCAACAAATCATATGAAAACTAAAACTGTATTTCTTAGTAATTCAGCCCCTCCCCAGCCTGTCTGTGCTGCTTAGTCACTAGAGACTTGGTGGAAACTTTAGAATAAGCACATTCATAAATTTTAACTAAGTAAAATATAAGATCTCTGTGCTGTATTTTTCTTCTTATTTTACTTTTTTTGAATAAAACTTGAGGTTTAATGTACATTTGGTGAGTATTTAGGCAGCAAACTCACATTCAGTTTGCATTTGCAACAGCATTGATACCAGCACTGCCGTCTTCACCTGCTCCAGATGACACACACCTTTACTAAGTAAAGGTGCACAACCTTTCCCCCCTTACTAGAAGCTGGACACATGAACAGTAGCACTACAAACACGATGAAGCATCTTAAAGACTGATGCCTTGGTCGTTATTACGACTGTTGGGAGGTCAGTAAGTCTCCTGTTTTAACAACAAGTATTAAACAGTTATCTGAAGTGTTGACCTTGCCACTGTCCGCATAAACATGAGCCATTTAAGTATTAGCAGCTACCTGCAGGTAGGTAGCAACTAGTGGCTATAATAAAATGGTAATATTAATGTGGTCTTGTCTGTCTGTAACATTAATAAACAGTATAAATTTAACAGGATAACACAGTTAACTGTAGTATTATGTTATTAGGTTATTACTGGGCACGATTCAAAAAACAGCATGAAAATCTGAATTTTCGGATTCTGAACTTGTCATCTAACACACACATACACCGATTGCACTGTGTTGTTGAGGAAAATGTGAGGACAAAGAAGTTGATATTAAGCCACGATGAGCCGGTCCTGTTGTTTCTAAACCCGGAGAAGGAGGAAACAAAGATGCTAGGTTCATTCAAGTCTCCGAAAAAAGCAGCAGCAGGGAGAATTTCATACTTTGAACCAGGAGTTAAAGCTGTATCACAACTGCTTTCATACATATGTCAGGATGTCAGGGGGGCAGTTTGAACTCTTGTTGGCAGAGTTGGGACCACATCTGAGGAGGCGGATGAATCATTTCAGAAAGCTAAAGAAAAATAAATGCTGCAAATTCATCCAGTGAAATTACGCGGTCGGTGTGAATTTGCACATTAAGAATGGGTGAATCCAAAAACTATTTTTAAAGCACAAAATATTCTCACAAATTTTACACATCTGATGTGTAAAGCCTTCAGGATGTCAGTGGAACTTCCATATTATGGTCTCCTAATGTGTCTTCAACTGTGCTCAAGATCAAGGTCAGATTTTACTGAAACAGGATTCATTTGCTGTGGACACGACTGTGAGCCTGCTTAACTTCTCAGTAGATTTCAATTCTCATGGCTTTGTGCGATACAACCACTGAAAACAAAATGCACAGCTTTCTTTCTGTGTGTCACGCATGATGATCACCTGTGACTGTAATTCTAACTGACAAAATAACACATCAAACAAAACTGTATAACTGAACAAAATCGTGATGCTCATTGTTCTATACAGTTTCTCTTTATGCTGCATGTACTGTGTCATAATGAAATGAAATCATCTAGAGATTTATGCCGTAACAAAAACCCCTCACAAAACATGAATTGTAAATATAATTAAATAAAAATATTGTCCTGTCAGCAACTAAAATAGCAGCCTGGAAATCTTATCCCTGTCGCTTCACTCTTAACTGAAATGGAAAAGTAAATGGAGCTGGATGTAAACCGGCCAATGCAGAGAAAATTTAGAGAAGCATGGGGTGTTCATTAGAGAGATTAGTGTTAGTATATTCCCAGTTAGCTAGCCCATAGGGGGTTTGCTTGCCAGCTACAAAGTCCTAGAAGCAAGCCTGGCAGCGACAACCTTGAAATACTGCTGGACACATATATGAGAAGTTATTTTCACTATCTGAACTGACTTTCACTTTAGTGGTCACTGGGACTGAAATGTATGAAAATATCACCTCCTTCCTTTGTACAATTCACCTTTTCTGTGTAGCTGTTCCTTTTGCTGAAAAAATAGCCTACATATAGCGAATTGGCATAGTGGCACGAGAAGAAATGCAAGGAGGGAAAGAATAAACGAGCAAAGGCAGAGTTAAAACAATGGACGGATATTTTCATTTCTCATTTGGCCAGAGCTTTGTTTAAATGGATTTGCATCCCTGGTGTGACATGCAAATTATTTAATGAATGACCACAGAAGCAAAAACTAAACTCCCACCAACTGCTGCATCAGACAGCTGGTATGATGCCGAGTAAGGCCTCTCTTGAGATGGTTCAAAACAGTTATGACAAAGGGGCGGTTTGTGTGCCTGTAGCAGCGATGTGTCCTTCTGCTGTTTTGTGTTTGCACAGCACCTTATATTGTAGCCATAAAATAATGCAGAGGCTTGTCACAGTGTCATAGTGAGGTTAAAATGTCAGTCTTTTTATGGATAGTGTAACTCTACAGAAAGAATGTTTTCAGAACTCCGTAAAAAATATCCAGTCCATGAGCACAGCTTGTCAAACAGAGCAAGCTTAAATCATTTCAAATCAGCCTGTGAGCCCTGTCACACTCACTGTACTCTTACAGCTCTTACATCTCAATATCTCTGAACCATCATCTCCATCAGGCCCAGCTCCCATGGCCTTTTTTTAACGACCTCCATATCTCTGACACACCTCCTGGATTACAGCCGTGTGAAAAAGACAGACATGTATGGTGGTGATATTTGCACCCTGAATCCCTTGTGATCCAGCAGAGCTCTGGAGCCAAGCAGCTGTTGCACAAAAACACTGAATAAGAAGCAAAAAGAGGCAAGCAGCTGCCATGCTTAGCCTCTTTTTAAACTAGTCGGCCACACGGATAAAAGCAAAAGTGTGTACTCACCAAATGGAAGTTCCATACTTGAACTGACTTGTGAGTTTACATTGACCATGTCGTCCTCTCCTTCCTCCCGAGCATATGTTTTAAATCCACTATTTTCTCCCCTCAGCATAAGGTGTAAAATGTGGAAGTCTGGCGCAGGGTGCTGTAGTGCGAGAAGGGTGTTGTTGGTGCAAGGTAAGGCCGGTGTTGCTGCTGTTATCTTATTGATTTTCCTAATCTGGGCAAATGTGGGTGGGGAGGTTAAACAGTAACCAGGCTCGTATGGACACCAATCTATATAGCAGCTGTAGCTATGGCAACATGATGATAGAAACTCAAATAGACATAAAGTTATTGTGCTCTTTTCCTTCTTTCTCATCACCCAACAGCCATTTCTCAGTCAAAGATGAAAATTGTGTAAGAATAAGAGTTTATGTAAAATAGAATGAAAGAAAGAGGGTGGGGAGGGACATAAAAGACAGAGGAGTGGAGAATGTACTGAGGGTGGCAGCAAGCATACTGTATGACGAGTGACATCATCAGTTTTGTTTTGACTGAGGAGAAAACTTTACTGCTTAGCCGTTATATACCTGGGGCCTGAACTCTCTGCGGATGCCAAAACATCCTCCCAGCAGAGATGGAAGCCCAGCTTCATTTCATTGGAGAATGAGTTTAAATCAAATATATCGTTTGATTTTATTTCTTTGGCCTATAAGCTGTTGAGATGTCTGCCTTCTTTGAATGTAATGAAGCTAGTTGGCTCTTTGCCCTGTGCAGAAAAATAAATTTGAATAACTCAGTTATGACATAGGTATTCTAAAACTACATTCACCAACCAAAAGAAGGTGCTCAGCATGATAAATGTGGCAATCATAAGGTCAGTGTGTGGCTCCTTCGCTCTACATTTGGGAAGTTCAACATTATTTTTCACCCCGATGCTTAAAGGTAAAGAATATGTGTGTCTGTCTGAGGGGATTATAGTGTAAAAGTGTAAAATCACTTTTAATGGCTAGCAAGAGTTGAAAATCATAATACAGCTATCAATTTACAATGTTTACATCCTGTTACAGTGTCACAAGCCCTCCTCTGGCTTTCTTCTGCTAAGTGAGACGGTTGGCGTGTAAACATGGATGCCATCTCCTCACCGGAGCTTTAAAGTTTGCAAGCTTCACGCTTCAGTTGGTTGGCAGGTACGGCTTGGTAGACAGAGATTAATTCCCAAATGAAATTGCTCACAAAATGTTATGTTTTCATCCTTGAGCTAACTGGGACACACACCAAACAATCTAAATGGATAAAAAGAGACAAAATCTGTACATTTGATTTGGAAACAAGCCGTCCTTTACGATAATTCTATATCGTGCTGGCACATTTCAGCTGCATGCAAACAGACATTTTTGCTTCCATAGGGAAATTTGTCATATTTTCTTTGGGCACCTTCAAAAATATGTATTAATTCTTTCTAGTTGCTTAGTTTAAGACTGGCTGAAGATTGCAAAATCCACTCTCTGGCACCTCTAAAGCTCATTAACTAACACACTAATACTGCTTGTTAAGTTAAAATCGCCTAAAATGTAAAAAACAGTAAGTGTAACAGTGTCTAAAGAAAAACCAGATTAAATATAATGTGTTAATTTAATAGGATTAGCTTTACTAGGAAAAGGATTTTGATGTTGGTTTCTTCCGAGTTCAGTTTCTCTTGCTAATCGTCTGCAGGGATGAGGCGGTGTGGATATTCTCATGAAAATTTCATCCAGCGAGGATAACGGTGTTTTCCAAACATCTAACTGTGGAAACTGATTGATTGAAATTCTGAAAACAGTGTATGCAATTACCTGTAAAACCACACCTGCACAAAAATGTAGAGTAAGGAGAAACACCTTGCACAAAGAAAGAAAATTACACCCACTCTCCATTTCTGAATAGAGCTGCTAAATAAACAGTCATTACAGTCAACAAAGTGCTGATCTCAGCTGCTCTTTATACTTGTTTGTGAGGTACTTTGTTTGCTTGGGAGAGACTGGTTTCTGTATCAAATGTTTTACGTTTGGGTGTGTGTGTGTGTGTGTGTGTGTGTGTGTGTCCACAAATCAGTTGAGCTGGGAGGCACAGCTGATTCCCTCGTATTTTAGGCCATAAAAGCTGCATTAGGCTGGGGTTTATGACAGAAAAAGTCTCTGATGGGTAAATGCTGAGCTGTAATGAGGTGAAATGCAGGACAGAAAATTTCCTGCAGCTGCAGTGAATAAACACAAGTGGTGAACAGCGAATTACTTGTGCTGAATATACAGCCTCATCAGTTATTTATAACTTAATTAATGTTCGGTCAGGCAAACAGGCAACCATAAATGCATTGTCATTTACTGTGGGAACAGGTTCACAGTCTAGAAAGACAATCAAAGATGTATATCAGGGCTAAAATGAGCAACTTGTAGCATAAAACTGCTTTTTTTTATTATTATTAAACAGGTTCTAACAGTGCAAAGCTCCTAAAAGTCAAAGGAAATAACAGTTGTAACATTATTTTGTAACTGGAATAGAAATTCAAGTGTTGCAGTAAATAAAGTATTTACAGTACAAATGGTAACAGTGGTAACTGGACACATGCGTCATTTATCCAGATTGTCTTGTTGTACAGCTTTTGTGAGTCACATTTGGAACTGTTGCGGATTCTTTTTTTCAGTTTACAAATTAAAACACTGTGTTGTGTTAATAGCTTCTTTCTTGTGTTAAAGTCTCCTGGGTTTTTTGTTCAGTGTGCACTGGTTTCTCCAGCAGGAGCCTCTGTAGCTGGATGGACAGAGAGAACATGGCTTTCCAGTCTTATACGGAGCTTCTCCTACCCAGTTTCCTCTGAAATACAAAGAAATATATTTAGCTAATTAAAAGGTGAGATTCTGAGTGTAATAGTTAAATGAGTATTTGCACCTGTGAGAGCAGGGTTTGGGTCTGTATTGGTTCTTTCTTTTTTACTTAGAACATGGACGAAAACAGCAACCGTTTTGTTTTTGTTTGTTTGTTTGTTCTTATTTTTGCCAACTTCATTAAGACATTTGTATATACAAGTAAAGCTCACTTTTTGTTCTTGAAATCTGCCTCTTGTGTCCTATTTGAACCTGGTTTGAACTAAAAACATTAAACTGATCCCATATGTGTGAAATAAAACAGATCATTTGGATTTAAAGCATTTTCAAGATCTAATAGTAGACTAAAACTGAAACTACAACCAACAATGATTAGCTTATTAGCATTTGCATAGAGGATACTTATTTTCTACTTTAAAAAATAGGCATCCTGTGTGTCTCGGAGGAAGCCACAGTTTTGAGCTGCATCTTCAAACTTTTGGTGAAAAAGTGAATGAGCATATTTCCCAAACTTTACTTTATCAAGTAGTTGCAGACCAGCAGCGTTGCTTCCCTCCAGGTGCTGCCGAACACGTCCATGTTGGAGCACTTCCTGACAGCACATCCCACTCTGTTGGTGCTCGCCCACACCATCTGACACAAACCGTAGACACATGTTTTCTCTTCATATGCACACAAGTCAAAGCACACACATTTACAGAGGTTAGCGCTAATTTGAAAACACAACTGTTAGGCTGCTTTAAACCCAGACATATGCATTTTAACCCTCCAAAGCAAGAAAGTAGTGTTTAATAAAATAAAACAGAAAAGGATCCGACCTTTTCCAGAAAGAATGGATTATAAATACTTGATTATAATCTAAATGATGAGTTTTTCAATAACTGAAGCCACATTTTTTATGGAACACATACACTGATGGTGCTATATTTACTGTTTTAAATGTGCCTAAAGAGCTGCACACACTTTACATTATTACATTATTAGGATATACAACAGAACACAAGACATCTGATGGATGTGCATTGATTCTGTGTAAAATCAACAACCCTAAACAAAGAGTTCTGAGCATCACCATCATAGAGTCAGACTGAGAATACATGAAGAGACAGAAAACACAGAAAAACTGTGAAAAGCTCTTCAAAGTGCCGAGAAAAACCCACCAGATAAGTGCTTAGAAAAGCTGTGTGCTATTGTTTCTATAGGTGAGCTGAAAAAATATTTATTTATTTCAGGTTTTCACTGTTTTCTGCATTTTGAAATTAATGAAATTGATGATAAATGTATTTTTTAATATCTTAACACTTAGTTTCACAGTATGTACAAACATATAAATATCTAATGGTTATTATACAGCATAGGGAAGAAAAACACATGTTTAATTTTATCTCACTCAAATGTACTAAAATGGAATCACTGAGTATATCATACCTGAGTGTAGTGAGAGCACACTGACCCACTGCATCTGTTTGGGTAGGAGAAGTGATGCCTCTCATCGTTCCAGGACCTGACCAGATCTGTGATAGACTGGTACCTTTTAAATTATGAATCAACATATCATACATATAGTGTTTGTTTTATTTTATTAATAAAAAAAACCAATATATGATTATAATGAGCATTCAGTGTTTCCACAGTTTGTTAGCTATGTACTACCTTCCTGAAGTGACTGACAGGTTTTGACCCACGTATTTCATGGCCTGTGTCGGACCGTGATCCCAAACACATCGTGAAGCCCATGAATCAGCTGACTTAGCAAGTCCCTCATCCCACAGCTGCATAAATAGCAGAAAAGGAGAATAACAGAGGAGCTGTCACTAACAACCAATCCCTAACATGACATGACATTTTTTCCTATTCTGTATAAAACACCAAAGCCACACAAAGTCAAACACCCAAACTATGCAGGCAATGCTCCCAAGTCATGATCACATTATTATTGTTTTTCTCCATGGTTACTTTTATTGAAGGGCCAACAATAAAATAGTAATTTATCACTGTAACTGATTGCAGTGACTAGTGCCTGTAATGACTAATTCTGCTATTTTATATTGTGAGGTAGCACATGAAGTAAAAAGTAGCATAGCCCTCTGAAATACAATGAAGAACTTCAAAAGAACATAAACAAAACTACAAAAATACCACAGAATTGTATTTAATGCAAAGTTATCAAGAAGATATTGTTTTGTCTTGAGCACTGTAGAGTATTTTTTTAAGTTATTTGTTTTCTTGTCATATTTTATGTATTCTAGACTCTGACTAATTAATCAGTTGGTTGATATTAAAGCCGATATTGGCTTATCACCAGTTTATTGGATTCAGCTTACATGGATGGATTTGGGAATTCTGTAATTTCATAGTTTGTCCAGCAGAGGTCTCTGACTCCCCATTTTCAATTCGTTCAGCACTGTCTGCAGCACATGTAGCAGAGCTGGGGTCTTCACTATAAGCTGCCTGCTAGTTTGTATAATGAACTGCTGGAGGTAACAATCACCTCACTATTTAACCTTTTTAGTGCATTTTATACAAACAAACTGTCTATGTGTGTCCATATATATACAAGTGCCTCACCATGTACTCCATATTAGCAGCAGGAGGAAAGACCTGAGAGCGGACTCGGTTATGGTAATCCAGCAGCGCATTCATCTCTCTGGGTGAAATTGCTGGTTTACGTCTGCTGCGATAAGTATTGACGCCTCCAGGCATCATCCACAGGGTGGCAGCCAGCATAAGCTGAACACAAGCAGTCATCTGAGGCCTGTGGAGGAGGAGGCAGCAGCTCTGAGGAGCAGAGCAGATTACATGATAGTCAAATTTACAAGTAAAAAACACAGTCAAATCCCAGGCATATGGTAATTTAATAAGTTGTGTGCTGAATTTGGTTAATTAAACCAGATAAGAGGCAAAAGAGTGTCTCATCAACATATTTGTAAAGGTGACCCTTTTTTTGCAACTAGATTAGATTAGATTAGATTAGATTAGATAGAACATTATTAATCCCTCGGGTGGGTTCCTCTGGGAAATTCGATTTCCAAAAAGCACAGCACCGACAGAAGTTACAGAGTTACAGAATATTATATATATATATATACACACACACACACACACACACACACACATATATATAAATACAGAGACAATATAAATAAAATATACGAAGGGGATAAATAGAATAAATAGGAATAAAAAATAAAAATACAAGTGAATTGCACATTTCAAGTATTGGGGTCTATTGCACTGTTGACTATTTACAAAAGTATTGCACAAAAGGTATTGCACAGTGAGGTGAAGAGGCACTACAGCTTAGTTGTTCCCCCCTCCTTTGTCCTCCTCCAACTATTCATAAAAGGAAAAGGAGTCAGTTTAACTCTCTGGGTTGAGCACGTGACCTTCTGCTGCAGAGATAAATACATCAGCCTGGGTTTAAGTCTGACCTCAGGGCCTTTGCTGTGTGTCTTCCCCCACTTTCTCCACACTTTACTGTCTCATGTTTCACTGTGTGCTCTCTGACAAAAGTGAAAAAAGCCCCAAAAGGTTTTGAGGTCACTTTGCAATGTGTTTTATTTCTATTACCTATTATTATTATACTTATTATTATTATTTAATAACAAAATTTGAGAAATATCATAAATCATATGGATTTTATAACAAGTCCATATCAGGTTAGCAATCACACAATTAACCTTAACAACTACTTGAAGGACAAACGAAGTATAAAGTTGGTGTAAGAAGAACAATTTGTTAAATAACAAGAATGTCAATACATTTCAGTATACCTCAATTTAATGCATTTTCCCAGTCAGAAAATATCATTTTACCCATCCACTACTTGTTTTTGTTTTGTTCTTAGTTTTGGTGGTCTTCAAAAAAACACACAGCAAGGTATTGATAAAAACTATTAGAACAGGTCAGAAACCATGATTGCTGAAAGATTAAACGTTCAATTAATTTAAACACTTCATTATCACATGTTCATTTTCTTTGCAGTCTTCAATCATGCCTTGTACACAGTGCGTGGAATAAGCTGAGCCTCGTACCTGCATCAGTGGATCCTTTCACAGAGTCAGACAAGCTGCAGAGGAGCTCCTCACTTCAGAGTGAGCGTTTGCAAACAAGCCCGTTTGTCATGTGTGGCAGGCAGTTTTAACTGAAGCACAAACCCTCCTGTATGCTGACTTCTTCTTCTTCTTTCCTGAAAATTTATTGTCTGTCTCTTTCGTTCTCCTTACTTCACAAACACAGGAAATTGCATCTGAGAACGTGAATCTCAATCATAAAATATTTTACCGACCGCCATCCTTTTTGACAGGGTCAGAACCACATCTGATTTGATTTACTTTAACCTCTGTATTTATCAGCAGCAGCAAGTAAACATTTTCACAATGAATCATACATTTTATATGTTTTAACTGTATATTATTGTAGGGGAGACCGGGGATAGTTGTAACATTTTTCACATTTCTGTCTGTAAATTGAAGCTCTTTTAAGGTAGTGGATTCAAAATGTAATGCAAAGTATTTACATGTCTCTGCTATTAAATAGTGCAGCTATTTTCTCTGCAGCACAATTACCCATTGCATGGTATGGTCTCAAACACAAAGAGTGAAATGTTACAATTAACCCCATAGTCTGGGTTAGTTGTAACATATCCTGGGGTGAAATGTAACACAATGAAATAAGGGTACTAACAAAACATTAACATGTAATCTTTGTTTATTCAACACATGAATGCACTTACATCCATTTATGTAGCTATGTGTGTGTGTGACAGAATGCAGAAATCTAGCTTTTGAACATATTCCAACCCCCCAAAAAAGACAAATTATGGAATTTTCTGCAACTGAATATTTCATTAATTTTGGTTGGTCTTCCTTGAGTTTGGCCTCATTGGCTCAGTGGGCATTATAACCTACAACTCTTGCACCAATTTTGAACATAACAATGAAGCTGAAAAAATGTAGTTGTTCACCAGCATCGCAATTCCATTACTTTTTATCATGGCTTACCTTGGTGTGGTTTGCAAAGTGCTTCAGAAAGATGAGGAAATCTGTTTCTTGCACCCATCCTGATTTATTTCCACTACCAGTACTTCCTACTGGTCCATCTCTGACACAGTGGTCTGCATAATGTATGTGTGGGAACACAAACAGTGGAGGAATTGTGTTGCCAATGGCATTAACCGCATATACAAAAGCGACCAGTGAACCTCTCTCTGCTGATGTCGTTGCCCCAACTTGTTTAATATAAGTTAAAGTAATAGTGTGGTAAGTTGTAACATCTGCATTATTGTTACAACTAACCCAGACTGTTGCTGTTACAACTGACCCAGACTCCTATAGCCATGAACTAGCTAACATTACAGCCAACGGCTAAAACATTAGCACTAAAGACCTACACAGAATATATCCCCATAGACATACAAATAACATAATTTAAGTTTGATGAGTTTAACTGCAAAGCAGATAATGCTATTAGAAATTGAAATAAAGTAGAAAAACTTACTTTTTGGCATACAAATTACTTTTTTTCATGTTAAATTGTCTGTGTTTGACAAAATGTGCTGATTTTTCACATGTGATAGCAGAACTGAATTGGGCATGCACAGGATGAGTCACATCATTTGAAACTTAGCCCTGATTGGAGAAATTAGAAATTGTTACAACTGACCCACGTTACAACTATCCCCGGTCTCCCCTACATTATTCTTAATTAATAATGCAAGCTTGGTTATATTATGTTGTTGTACATCTGACTTTTCAGTAATTTCTAAGTGTGGACAAGAGGAGTTAGAGTTGTGGTTTTAACACCTAATGATAAATACTGTTCAGAAATAATTATTACTGGAATCAATAACAGACATCTTTATATTAAATAAAAAAGGAATTCAGAATTTCAGAGCTTGAGGCTGGTTTACGGGAGATGTTTTAGTTTCCTTACCTCGCTGGATTTCTTCAATAAAAAATACAATAAAAAGCTGAATAAGCAGGATAATAGGAAGCTTGTAGGAGATGGGCAAAGAATGTGCATTTAAGAAAAAGGAGGGAGAAAGTGGCTGCAGACTCAGGGTTTATCTGCAGCTGTTGTTGGTTCAAGAGATTTTGAAGATGCACTGCATCACCTGGATCTACAGGTAATGGTGTCAGAGAGATGACACAGGGGAAAGCACAAAACTGGACTACAAAATTATGAAATCTTTACTAGATATCAATTTTGCCAGTGAAGTCATGACCATATCATTGTTCATGTCCAGACTGCATGCAGTGCAGCTGATATTTTTTAGAGCTCTCAGTGAATGTCCCCTTGTATTTATGCTTCTGCTCTGCATGCTGGATCTTCTCCATTGTGTCAAAAAACAGAGATCCTACTAGTTTAGGGATGAAGCTGCAAGGATGCACGTCTAGCAAGTAGGGCAGCGGAATCTGCTGGTTTTAAATGCACGCACTACAATATTTTTCCAGCACATTCCATACTTTATATCATTTCTGCTGAATGTTCAACTCTCGACCACTTAGGCATGAATAGGCATGAGAAAGCAATTCATGTTCCAAATTATATTTTTCTATGGAGATCAAGTGATTATTATAGCAGCTAACATAATAAAATACTTTATTTCATCTTGAAGTTTCATCTGGTCTTCAAGGTCATAATTTATCTTTGTTAGAATTTTTCATTTTAGGTTTTTCCTCCAGTGTGATTACCTGCCCTGTTTGGGTCACCCATGTCTTAATGTCCTGCCCACTCTTTGTTTCTCCCTTTTTCTGTGCCAGTATTTTGCTTCATCTGTGAGTCTTCAAGTGATTTTATTCTGTTCTGCACCATCTTACTGAGATATATTTGAGCGGGTTTCACAGAAATCCTGTTTACTGCACATTTTTATTATACTTTATGCACATGGCTCTGCTTTGTGCATTGGAACATCTTTACTTGCTGTCACAGTCAGTAGTCATAGGTGCATTACTTAGCATTATTCTTGTCTAGATCATCTACCCCTGCATTTCCTATTTGCCTTGTTAGTACAGCAGAAGAGAAAGACTCAACATCAATGGCCACATTTTGTCTGAAGATTCCACTATGTCACCTGGCTGGTCAGGTAACATAGTGTAGCCTTTAAAGTCATGCTGCAGCATACGTCCATATAGGCTCCCAGACGTTGTAATTTGTGTGTGAAATGCACAGAAAGGCAAAAAAAACCTTGAACGCACACAAGGTCAATGTCACATCGTGTTGTTGATCCTTTAAACTCAAGCACTTTTTCCACTTGCTTGTCTATAACTGGCAACTGTTTATTTTTTATATCTACTTTCTATCTACTTGCACTTTTTCATATTAGTATTGTTCTTGATTTTTTGTTCAAATCTCTTTAGCATTCTGTCAGTGGAGCTGAATGAACAGATTAGCTTGAACTTAACGTACTGAATGCAAAGACCCAACTTTTAAAATTAGCATCAGCCACATGCATGACAGTTTTTGCACATAGTTGATATATAAGGCGTCACACATCAAAGAAGGGAGAATATATCCATCAAACCTGGCTGTTAAATATCAAAAAGAAGGAAAGAAAAAGGTCAAGCAGCACAGGCTCAAAGTATATTTATTCAGTCATCTGGTGCTTCCCGCTGACAGAGGAGAAAGGTGAAAGTGTGGCTGTACTGCAGAGTATTTGCCAGCCTCAAAGGAAAGAAAGGTATTGTGATAAAATCTTTAAAGCTGAGCTACTATTCACTAACACTGTAGGAAACATCACATGGGGGCTGCAGCATAAACCAGATATATACAAATATAAAACCATAACACTTAAAATACATGCAGAGGCTGTTTGACATTAGAATAGTGTGTTTATAAAAGCAGGGATCAGGGTAACTATGAGAAAATGATAAGTGGTGAAAAATTGTTTTGCTTTTACAATTTTAGAAAAATCTCTATTAAAACAAGGTGGGTGTGATTTGCTAAAACTTTAGTTTGCATCTTTTCAGTTGATTAGTATTTAATTTTAACATTTTTAGCCCTTTTCAAAATTTTTAAACATATATTTATAGATATTTATATACTTTTTAATGGAACTTATTGGCTGTCATTTAATAACAATGAATACAAATATATCAGAAGTTTATTTTTTCCTAAATGCACAAATGAACTGCAGAAAGGAATTTAAACATGGTGCACCATGGGGCATTAGTTCTCAAGAGTCTGGAAATTTGAATGGTGAAACTTCACCAGGGGGGTCAGAAATAGGTCAAACCTTGGAGAGGATAATTATCTGGCTGGACTAGACCAGTTTTATTTTGGTTTTTGGAGTCCCTCTCTTACTGCCTGCAGCATGACATCATCTGGTTCGATGCACTGCAGGACAGTTACATGCAAACTTCCCTGTGACATTGCAGATCAATCTGAAAGGAGATGAGAAGAACTCAGTGACCTCTATATTTACCTCAAGAGAAGCAGAAAACACACCTGTGCAGTGATGATTACTGCAGGAGATTTTTTTTTAGTTTTCCATCTTGTTCTTTACATTTACTTACGTCTTTATCACTTGAGTAAGGCCCTCAAAAGTTTAGTTTCATCAAATGTTTTGTTTTGCAAAAAGATTCCTTTTTTCAATCTAACTATAGAAATCTGAGGTGTGATTCAATCAGGTCTTGGGCTGTCTGAAATGTAATCTGAAACCATTTAATCTGGATGGGTTTTGGAGTTTTTTTGCCTCCTGACAGAGTTTGTAGTTTGGCAGCAATCCTTGAAGAACAATCAGCCAAACCGGAGGCATGCTTGGAAAATTGCTTTTTAGAGAGGCTTGTTTGCCAAGTCAGAGTGCACTGGGGACAAACTTTGTCCTTCAAGGGGAGATTTATTTTATTCCAGTATAATCACAATCAATCAGCAGAAGCAGGATTCAGTTTTACAAACATCAGCACCAGCTCTCATCAACACTTCCATTAATTACCTTAAATTGTATGTGTAGACAGTGAAAATATATGCATATGATTTGCATTTATATCTATTTTTTTAGTTAGTATTATTAAATACATTTTTAAACTGTTAATTACAAAGTATGAATATATTGTGTTGCATGTAATAACAGAAAAACTGGGAGAAATAAATTAAATTTGACCCAGAAACAGAACTCTTTTAGCAACTTTTCCAGTAGATAAATAATGTAGATTGCATCACAATGATGTCGGTTTAATGAGGAAGACATACCACATGTGGAAATAAGGGGAATTTGACCAGATGCTGTCAAAGAGGTCTCTTTTAAGGTTCAGGGAGACAGGATCACATTTTTTGAGAAATATACAGAAGATCTTTCTTCCGTTCTTTCTTTGTTTTTTCTTGGATCATCTAAGTGAGTTCAGTGAATTCATTGTACTGAAATGGCCTCAACAGTCCCAAATCCAACAGGTAGACGTGGAGATTCACAATATGGAGCTGCAGCCGACATACCGGCAGGAACTGTGTGATGCTCATCTCAGAAGGAACCAAAATCTCTGAAGCACCTCCCAGGGTAGCTGTTGCTCAGGAGTAGAGCAGGTTGCCTGATGTGCAGATGTTTATAGAGGTGTTCCTTTTTTGTTTTCTTTTTTTTTCCCTGTCCCGTTTGGATCTTTAGCCATCAGAATTGTTGTTTGAAAGCCAAAAAAGATGCCTAGCAGGTTTACTTTACCAAGTGGATCATCATGGCCTTGCCTGGCTGATCTTGGTTTTAGGACTGTGGTTTAATTGTTTTCCTCCATTTATTATGTTATTTTGGATTAATATGTATATCTACGAAAACATATGTCAGATACAAAGAAAGTGAAAGGAAAGCAAGTGTTAAGAAGAAAGTAGCACATCACCCTGTACGGTGGGGGCGCTATCCATTTGAATTTACCGTTTGTAGTCTGCCGTTAAAAACACAAAGAAGAACAATAAAATCTCATTGGTTGACCTGCAGTGACGTCAAAGCAACGTACCCCTCCCCGCCGGTGTAGAGCAACGGTCATAGCGTCAACATGGCGTCGTTGGATGTCATTGTGGATAAGTTGGTGGTACTGTGGAGGATACCGGCCGTCCGACAGAAGTTCCCCTGGAGTTTTTTGCTCATCTCGGTCGTGGGGTCCGTCCTGAAAGAGCTGGAGTTCGTTCCGCAGACGTATTTCAGCAGCAGCAAAAACGCCCTGAACGTGTAAGTATGACGACGCGATTGATTAGCTAACACAACCGATTCATTCAAGCTCGTGGGCACACCTGGCGTTCACTTTAAGGTGACTTAAAAGCACCTTTATAATTTTCTTTTTTTTAATGTTTTAATGAATTTGGCAAGACTGGAGAGATGTAGGTCAAGGGTGAACTGTTCAACTGTCGGGCTAATGAAGTCCTATTTGTTGAACACAACTCAAAACAAACAAAAACTGCTTGGCTTACCTGGATTTTGTTGGAGCAGAAACTGGCAATTGTTATTATTTATGTCCTGCTATTTATATTTTTGTTCCATGCACAGCTAGTGTGGAGCATCCACAGTTTCGTTGTACATGTACAATGACAATAAAAAGCTATTATATTCTATTCTAAAAAGAAATAAGATAAGATAAAGATAAGATAACCTTTATTAGTCCCACACGTGGGAAATTTGTTTTGTCACAGCAGGTTTGGACAGTGCAAAAGTTATGAGGCAAAAATTAGAATACAATAAGAATAAATCTGTACATATGTACCAGTATATGTGCTGGTGTTACAGATGGTTAGAAACAGAAGTAAAAACCTGGAGTATACAGAATGTTTATGCATAAACATTCTGTATTGGCCCAGGAGTATGAAATATACATTCTGTGTACATATGAGATTAACTTTATCTTGAAGTGGTAAATTGTTTCATCAGACTGCTCTGTTTGTCTTGCAGGTATTTTGTTAAAGTGTCCTGGGGCTGGACGCTGCTGCTGCTAACCCCCTTCCTCCTCCTCTCCAATGCCTCCTTCAACAGGGGTGTCTCCTTTCTCGCCCGGCGGCTGCTTTCTCTGGTGGTGGCAACAGCTGTCTGGTACGTCTGCACAGAGACCTTCTTCTACATCGAGGATGTGACCGGTTCTTGTTATGAAAACAGCTTGGTAAAGGTTGATTACAAGGAGTTCACATCGAAAGCTGTCTGCAGGCGGGCTGGATTCCACTGGGTTGGCTATGACATCTCAGGACACTCCTTCATTTTGGCGTACTCCACCCTCTTCATCATGGAGGAAATTGCTCCGATGAGCTCTCTCAATACCACCAGCTTGTCTGGACTTCCCAGGAAGGTCTTGAGCCTGCTGTATATAGCCTTGAATCTTATCATGATCATTTGGGTGTGGATGTTCACGTGCACCTCTGTTTATTTCCATGACCCATCTCACAAGTTGTTAGGAACCATATGCGCCCTGCTGGGGTGGTATTTAACATATCGGGTTTGGTATGTAAAGCCAATGTCACCAGGACTTCCCCCTCAGCGCCACCCAAAAGAACAGAAGCCGCATGCCTAAGCTGAACACTCAAGTAAAATCATTCTCAAAATAACACACTACATTTGACGCTATCTGCATCCAGGTCCAAGCCAGCAACTCTACTTGAAGCTATTTTAAATAATTCCCCTCTTCATAGGCTGGCCACCTTGTACACAATGACTTACTTGCAATTCTTCATCTGTTTGGCAGCTGCTGATCCCAAAATGACTTGTAATCTGAGATAAAAGCACAGAGCTGCTCTGCTGCCCAGCTTCAGTCCTCTCACCTTCAGCCTCAAGGTTCGCTATTATTTGCCTGACTTATAGTGCGTTATTCCAAACTGAGTATTTGCAGTTTTTAGATATGTATGGGAACAGTTGAGAATGTTTACAGCTCCAGTTGTATAGCACTGATGATGTGTGTTTTTTGCAAACCAATGTACAGTAAATGTTCATTGTTATTTATTTAGAAAGCTTTGAACAAGTCATTGTAATCCAGTGAAGCTGCATTTCATCCTACGTATAATATTTGAAATCTGTTTTTTTTTTATTGTGAATGATTTGGGGTCAAAGTAACTGTGTGTCAACATTATGTGTAGTTTAAGTTTGTTCAGGGATGTAGAATGTGGTTAGGAATAAGAATTTTAATATATTTAATTAAGAAATATTATTAAGGTTGGAAATATTCAGTATTGAGCTTTAACTAACATTTATTTTCATCATTAATTGATATAAAGAGGGGTTTTTTCCTGTTAATTATTTCATGAAAAAAAATGCCTAAACTGTTTAAAGGAAACTATTTTTCCCTACAGCAAAGATATAATTTAAAAACATGGAGAAAAGCAGCTTTATGCTTATGTTGCCATCAGCTTTTGAAACACTATCAGTTTTTATTTTAACTGGTCTTTAAAAGACAAATCAGACAAGATTAATATTCCTCTGTGCCATAAGTTTCTGAACAGAAGCTATTAAAAATGCTGAACAGTGTAGTTTACTGGTGCTGAATTGCTTTTTAGGATTCAGCTTCAGATTTTCCTTTTCCATAAAGTTTATAGTTAGAGTTGGGTGACCCTGAATCATCCCTTAGTTATGCTGCTAGACGACTTCCCATGATCCACTGAGTACTCTCCACTTTACACGTATTTATTGGTCACTGCTGCATGTCATTAACTTCTGTAGTTTGTGTTTGGACCTGCTTGCTGGTCGTGATTCTCCCTGTCTTGCCCTACTTAACCCTCAAACCTCAACTGGCCTAGGTCAGCCCTCTCTTCCTTTTTAAAAGGGAGTTCTTCCTCCTCATTGTCACTAAGTGCTTGTAGGGGATCATCTGATGGTCCTTAGCTCACACTATGAAGCACCTTGATCTGTGTGATTTGGCCTTATATGAATAAATCAGAATTCCCACTTACACAATCTTGCTTCCTTAAACACTCACCAGTACATCTCTGGTAAAAACCACAGCATAAATTTCACTTTAAAAGCTGAACTTTTATATTTTTGATTTCTACAGGAAGTAGGAGCCAGAAGATTTGTGTAAAAAGAGTGACTTTTTTGAGCTATGAGGAAAAGTATAGAATGACACCAGTCATATTTTGTTAAAGTTCTGTTAAGCTTACAAATATGTAAATCACAGAAGAATGTTTCAGTTTTCTACTGTTGGGATTTATGTATCAAATATAAAAAAAATCGACTTTCTCCTCCGTGCAGGAAGCTCTGAGTTTTTGTCCAAATAAACCAACAAAAAAAAGTTCCATTAATTATTTTCATTATTTATTGGTCATTGATGGCAACTGAATAAATTAAGGCTTATGAACAAACATCATAAAAAGCACCATAAATAAATGCATATATAGAAATATAAAAAATAAAAAGTAAAAAATAAAAAAATACTATAGTGAAATATAATGGCCACAAATCACAACTGGGATTCTTTCGACTTGAAATCTTTGTTGGATCCAAGAAGTACAGATCCAACCCCTCGGGTAGTGCGATTCAGTCAGAGGAAGCAGCGGAATCGTAACAGCTGTGCTTGCAATAATCAAAATGTACCAAGCGTTTACAGTGATTGGCTGGTTATGACGTTTCTTGGCATTTTTGCCCACAGTGTCAATTATTGAACCGTTTTAGCATGAAAATCTCAACATGAATGAGAACACAGTTAAACTAATTATTTGATTTATTTATAACTGGACACATATCTCCTCTTTTGCTTGCTTTCAAACTTTGGAAATCTCATTTACCTCCCTTCTGAACATCTTGAAATCAAGTACTTTAATGTCTACTTTAATGTGTATCTCAAATGTCTTCTTTTCAGACAAAAAGGATTTATTGATCTCACTGGCTGCCCTGCACTCTCCATATCAAAAATTAAACTGGGTACACTTTGGTTTTCTTAATAAAAAACAGATTCTGCTACAAGACATGAAACAGCAACAAACTTATATTAAAGGAGTACTGATCATTGTCTTTGGTTCAGCCTTTTCTGTTGCAGTTAGATGCTAATCACCACCTGCAGAGCTGAGTTTGTGTGACAGTAGAAAACTCTCCATGACCTCTGTTATTTATTAATATCTTGAGTTATGAGAGAAAGAGTCGCTGCACTGTGAGTCCTTACTGCAAGAATGTCGGTAATAACCAGCCAAGAAAAAGCAAAAGCAGCTTACAACTCCAGCCAGCACCTCACAACAATGAGTTAAACCCAAAGAGCGCACATGATAACATGTTTTTTTTTAAAAAAAAGCACAGACATCTGGTAAAGAAACACAAAGTGGTTCCCGTCAAGGGTTAACTTAATGTGGAGTAAGAAAAATAAACTGCATTAAGAAACAACGAGACAGCTGGGAAGGCTCTCTGTTTCTCACCATCATGCTCCTTAAGCCTTCAGATGAGTCAGCTTTTTCCTTCCCTCGTTCCCGTTGTTTAACCTTTAAGCTCATTAAAAATTAAGCATGGTAAAATAAATGCGACCGTGTGTAATTAAAAATATCTATCTGTTAAAAACAATCTTGCATCTGTCAGGAGGAAGTCAGCAGAGACAAACAAACAGCAGTGAATTCCAGTGCGTTTTTTCTTGCTCAGTATTGCTGAGGGACCGTCTCAGACGCGGTGCAGTGCAGGTGATTCAAAGGTTACAGTTACCAACTGAATATTTAGAAATCTGTGGCTTAGTCATGTCATAAATTCTGCCTCTGGGCCACAAAAAAACCCCTCAGTGTACACAATATGAAAGTAACCCATGCAATGAAACATACATCCTAACCCTAAGTCATCACTATTGTGCCATAGATGCAGAATTTATTATTTTGCTATCAGTAGAGCCAAGTGTAACTTTTCAAACACCCAGATTTTCCTCTGCTCAGCGACAAGATAGTGACAGTGGACCACTGTGTGCTGTGTGATCTGTGGTGCTCTAAATAAACTGACTCTGGACACACGTGTGCATGTCTCTGTGTGTTATTACATATTGGGTGTACAATAAGTTAAAGGAGCACTTTTATAGTTTGGGAGATTTTTCCACTTTATTTCTGAGGGTTAGATGAGAAGATGGGTACTGCTTTTATTGTGTGCATGATCATGAAGCTGCTACAGCTGCTTAGCTCAGCATTAAGACTGGAAACATTTGCATGAAATGACGGTCTTTTCAAAGACCCACACACTGTTTTGCACCTTTAGTTTCCCTAACATGCTTCTATCAGGAGCAAGGTTTAGTCCCCCAAAAGAAACACAAATAGACAAAAGCAGATTTCTTCTTCTGCTCTTGTTTTTAAACTTTCTTTTTTAACCTTTCCCCTTCGTGATTCGTTGTGACACTGGAAGATATTCATATCTTGTAATGTGACACACTTTATGTATGTTTGATACTCTACTTGAGATTAAAAAATAGGGCTAACAACCAGGTAAAGTGGAACCGACACAGTCTGACTGGACCATTCAAAGCATTTCCACTACAAACCAAACATTCACATTTTCACTTTGTCTTACTCACATCCACACCTATGGCCAATTTAGAAGCAAAAATTAACCCAACGTGAACATCTATGGAGCTGCTGAAAGAAAAACCCAGCACATAGTGAGTGCTCCCAGTCAACAGTGCAAACCACCACACCGCAATGCCATGCCACCCAAAGTGGAGTGGCAGTTTAATTCATTAGAAATGTGTTAAGTGATTTGCACCACTTAAGCACAATATTGACTGAAGCGCGCCTTCCATCATTATCCTAATTATCTGCTTAGTTTTAATATATCAGATTCTACTGTCCTCACGCTGGCATATTGCAAAATATAGCTAATGTGTTTGTGTTTAATCAAATTACACGTGGAGTGTGACAATTTCACTGAATTATCACAAGCTAAGTGTGATAATTTGATTAGACCTAGTATGTTAACAGTGAAGCATAATTATGTTTTTCATATTTAAATGAGACAAAGGCATTTACTGGTGTTGGCTTCTGTTTCATGCTGTTTACATTTCTGTGACAGAGCGGCTGTTTCGCTTGTTTTCAGTGTTTAAACTAAGCTAATCACCCTCTTGGCCTGTAGCTTCATATTTAACACCTACACAAAGAGTAGTATCGATCTTCTCATCCACGCCTCATCAATAAAGCCAATAAGCACATTTCCCAAAATGTCAAAGCATACCTTTAAAGTTTGCCTCCATCCTTTCATCATTACATGTGGCAGTTTCTGGCAGCACAGCACTTTTCAGAAAGTAATCGTCATGTACATGTCCCTGTGGTTTTACTGGTTATACCTCAGGTAGATGGAGGAGTGAGGAGCAGGTATGAGTAGTGACTATAATAGTGGCATGCGAAGGTCAGTTAACCCCTGTTGTTGTTGTGTTTAAAGTTTTATCTGGGTTTTTTTTTCACTTTAAGATTTCAGTGTAGGTGGACCTGATGCATGCCTTCAACAAAAGTTAAATGAGGACTTGCATGCACAAGAGCTGCAAGTTTCCAGTAATTAAACTTTAACGAAGGCCTTGATTACCAGAAAATGTGCTGTTAAGAATTTTTTATTATGGAATGTTTTAATATTTCTTTGTTCACCCAGGTAAGTAATAGTGTTCTCTATATAGATTCATTATGTTTTCCTGCAGTCATAAAACATTACAGAAAAGTTTAAACATCACACAAATACACAGACATATAACACAACAAGTGGGCATTCACTACATGTATTTCTTTTTTAAATACCAGTAGGCAAAGTAGCCCATCCCACCCAGTGAACCCATGAGAAAAGAGGCCCCGAAGAAGGACGGCGGCTTCTTTTTTACCATCCGGAAGGCGTTGGGTAGGACTGCCGACAGGAGGGTCGTGTGGATGTCACCCAAGACCTTTCGAAAAGCGTAGCGTTTTTGCACACGCACAAAAAAGGACTGCAGGTTGGGCCGGCTGCCGTCCTCCCAGTATTTCTTAGAAAGTCCCAAGAACTTGAGCCTGTGCAACAAGGCTCCGAGGCAGATGTCAGCTAGTGTAAATTCAGGTCCACAAAGCCACAACTCACACTTTTGGCCTGCGAAGCAAAGAATGCGATAACATCACTATAGAAAATGTCTGGGTTGTGCTTTGATATTCATCATTTGGACATACCTTGATACTCTAGTTTTCTTTTCTCCAGTTCAGCTTCCACTTGATCTAAAACCATGGCTAACTCCCCCAGAATTTTCTTCAGGTAGTTCACATTATCATGGTCCAAGATTTTTGCCTGTCAATTAAACAAGTAAAAAAGTAGCACGCATTAAACTGATGTTTTAATGTTAAATTCAAGTGATAAATTGTTATAAGTTGACATAAATCAAGCCTTTCCCAGCCCCCTTTTAGGCAAGCGTGGCTTCTTATTTAGCAGGACTCAATTTAAACTGTTTTAACTGCAGATGCTGTAATTGTTAAAGCAGCAGTAATTACTTTTTTGTAGTTTTGATAACACTGAAATTTTAGCTAGCAGGGAACATTCCCACAAAAATAACAAACCTTACATAAACTTTGTAATTCTGTCTTTAAGAAAACATTCATTTGAAGCACTATTTCAAATCCTAACAACGTTCAAAGAATGGTGTTAAGTTGCAAGTTATAAAATGTTCTTATACATATTTATGACAATAAAAAACAAAAACAGTATTCTGCATTATTCTGATTTGAGGACATCACTGGTGTCTGAGATGACGGGGTTTTTAAAATGCTCCTCGAATGCAATTTCTGAACAAAAGGTATTCTGAATGCAAAATTATGAGACTGTGTCACAGATGTTACTGGATAACATTTATAAACTATATCATTTAAATCAGGTTTTATGATAGATTGACACATTGCAGTGAAATGATTTCTAATGCCACGAGGAAAAATATCAAATTTGGAGACTACACTAAAAGTGTTTCACATATTTTCAGGAAATAAAATGTGTCATTTTAACATTTAGCCTAAAATGCTGAGAACATACATTTTAAATTTGATATTTTGACATGCAGTGAGAAACAGCTAGTGCTAGCACTGCGACAGCAAAGCAAGAACTTTCCTGGTTCTTATATAGGCTGATCAGCTGGAGCCGTTCTGTGTGCAGTTTGAATGTTCTCGCTGTACCTGCACAGGTTCCATTCGAGTACTGTGGCTTCCTCCCACAGTTCAGTGCAAATCACGTTAACTGGTGGCTTTAAAATGGCCATAGGTGTGGATGTGACAGTGTGTGGTTGTCCTACTCTGTTAACCAGTCTGACTATCTGCCTCAACCAAAGTTAAACAGGGAAAGCTCCACTCACTCCAAAAACAACATCAAAAGCAACATTTTCACTAAACATTTTTGGAATACTTTGTAGAGATTTATCCAACCTTTAAAAACATTTTTTGGAAGAAAAGAAAAAACTTACAGAAAAATAAAAAAACATCTCAGAACATTATTTCAGCCAAAAATATGTATCTAGTTAAATGCTAAAGCCAAACACCTAAACTGCTTTTTATTGCTTACAAAAAATACAAATAACCTCAATATGAATTATTCTATGGGGGGCATGGAATCTGTTTAAAACTGTCATAATAATCTAAAGTAATTGCAGTGTACTTGTATTTACATAGCATTAGTCTTAAAAAACATTTAAAGCACTTTAACTATATGTCACATCCAGTAGCTCTAAAGATATTTCACTCAAAGCCACAAATAGGAAAACTAACGGCACTGAAGGAAAAGTCAGGATTTCTTCTCTGATCATAAATGACGCAATACCTGTCAGTTTAATAGAGACTTAAACTGTTTGTCCCCCCAAAAAAGCATTAAATACATAAAAATCATACTCGTTACATTCCCGTTCAGGGGTCTCAAATATATGTAATTCAAAATAAGTATATTTTTATTCAGGATTTAAAATTTTAAGGGTTTCACTCGATGAAGCTAATCTTACAGGGTGTTTCCTGTGTGATAACCTTCACTTTGTACCCATGAAGGATATTAATACATCAGTTTAAGATGCTAATTCAGGCAGCTGCCCTAAATAAGTATAAATGTATTACACATTTAGAGGATTTAATGGATTTTCTATGTGCACTATAATTTCTTGAAGGGATAACAACAATTTAAAAATGTACAATACACTAAGCTATTAATTCTTACAATAAGTGAGAAATTTATTTAATTTTAATGCATCATTTAATGGATTAAAGGCCCTGAAACTTATGCAAATGAACTCCTATGAATTGCAGTATATGAATCACACCCTGAAAGTCATCTTAAGTCTTCACTTCTGAAGTGTATATTAATGAAATCTGTAGTTGTGAAGGACACTTAAAAGTTAAATGTTAACGTTAATGAAAACACGGGTTCACCATTAGCTTCTTCTGTTTGGAGAGGTACGGTTCTGTCAGCTGTGGCTCCTCATGGTCCAGCTTCATCAGCTCTGTCGCAGCGTTGGCCAGATGTCCTGAAGTTACACACAAACACAGTGCATGCATTAACATTAACTGTGTCCTCTGTTGTTCAGGAAGGGGAAAAAAACACTTTGAATAATATTTAGACACTGTGCTGTCTGCCTGGCATATTTTACTAAAAGCAAATACGCCAGAGTCCAGTGTGTTTAATCTCCAAGGGGATGTCTGACAATACAAAGCTTATTCCCATCTGAGCTCCATTCAGTCTCCCGAGGGCAGAGGAAGAAGCTTGTGTCATCAGCTGTTACACATATTGTTTTTATTTACGTCATCAAGGACATAAGATGTGTCCGTGGTGCACTATAATTTTTTATATTGCTAACGTACAGCACTGTGCAAAACACTTGAGCCACCTCTCATTTCTTTCATTGGGTAAATATAACACAGTATATAAGGCTAAAACATAGTTTGCACAATTGAACCAAACCTCAATATTTGGTAGAATCATGTTCACAAAAGACTTCTATGGATTTTGGGTGCCTTTTAGTCTATTCTCTGTCGAGATGAGCCCAAACTGCTTAAATAATGTTGACGTCTGGACTCTGAGGAGGCCAGAACATGACTGATAGTTTTCCACTGTGTGTTTTTCTATCCAGGTATGATATTACAACATTAACAGTCAGTCAGGCAGATAATATCTGCTCACATTCACATAACTTCTTTTGTTAGAGATACTATTTTTTTTGTTTTGTTTTCAAAGGAGCTTGCAAAAAAAAAAGTGTCTGGACTTCTTTAAGTTGCTTGAAGGCGTTTCACCTCTCATCCGAGAAGCTTCTTCAGTTCTGATTGTTTTGTTTTGTTCTTTAACTACTGCTGTGGACAGGAAGACAGGCGAGTCCAGGATTAAATTTGTTTTTGTTACCTAGCACAGTCCGGTATGGCTTTTACTGTACTACACTTTTAATAGAAGCTGTTTTCATTTTGTTTCTCTGGTCTGAATGGCATGAATCCACTCATCTGTGTTGTTTTTTTGTTACCCTTCTTTTTGCCATCTGGGTAACTAATGATGAGTCAAAGTAAAAGATTGATGTTTTGTCTTAGTGTTTAACCTACTTGATTTAGCTCTACTCATGTCGTTTTATGATTTCCAACTCAAAGATCACTTGAATAATAAAAAAAAACATGCAGCTAAAACATGTTTTTAAGGCATCCCAGACATAAACCTTTAATTACAAAAACATTTTTATGTATTTTGTGACCTAATTAAGGCAGTTTGGTAAACTAACAGAACAAACTGTGCAGAGGCAGGTGTAGTTCAGCGCAGGCACCATTAATTCAATTCAATTTTATTTACGATTGGGGGCGATCGTGGCTCAAGAGTTGGGAGTTTGCCTTGTAATCGGAAGGTTGCCGGTTGCCGGTTCGAGCCCCGGCTTGGACAGTCTCGGTCGTTGTGTCCTTGGGCGAGACACTTTACCCGTTGCCTACTGGTGGTGGTCAGAGGGCCCGGTGGCGCCAGTTTGTGTCTGAACTGTCCCTTCAGTCTGAATCATAATCATCCAAACCAAAGTTTACCGCACAGAGAACACCGATGCGTTCAATGAAATACTCCATAAAGTTGATTTTGCAGGTCCATCACAGACTGGTCAGGATTTCACTGGATAATTAATTCTCCTGCAGACTTTCTTTTATATCTCATCCAGCCTGTTGCTCTGATTTACATGACAAGGCCATTACCTGATGTGAAGAGCACCACAGTTCAGGCTGGGAGGTCTAATATCTGCCGTTAAAAACCTGGCATCACTACAAAGTGCTGTGTTAAGGGTTTTTGGTATTGAGTAGCATCAAATTACACAGTATGCTAATCACGCTGTGCACATAAAAACCTGGGATTTGTTTTACCAATGATGTGGAAAATGCTGTAAGGAAGATGAATTGCTTTGCATTCAAAATGCATGTGGTTTTCGTCGTAGGAGTCTCTTTGGTATCAGAGCTGAAGCTGAGTCACGCTGAGTGTGTGACAGTGTTCAATATAGCGAGTTAAAAGCACTGAAAAGTTTTTATATCTTTAAAAGAAGAAAGTAGTCAAGAAAAGATGACAAAACCAAAATAGCATCTACCTTTCATCCTGTCAATCCACAAGAAAACTTTCTTTACCTCAGGGATGAGCACTAGGGACAAACATGGGACACTTTTTTCACCAATGAGGGCCCAGTATACACTTCAGTGGGTACCCCTGTTTAACTCATCAAAACCACCGCTGAAGTTCAAACTGAGCATCAGAATGGGGACAAAAAGTGTTTTAAGTGACTTTGAACATTGCATGGTTGTGCCAATGATCTACCTAAATATTCCCACGCAACCATCTCCGGTGTTTACGAAGGCGACTTTCAGCTGATAGGAAGGCAAAAGAAACTCAAATAACCACTTGTTAACACCACGGTATGCATAAGACCACCTCTGAACACAGAATGTATCAAACTTTGAAGCAGATGGGCAGCAGCAGAAGAAGACCACACCTGGCCCTGCTCATGTGAGCCAAGAACAAGAATTTGAGGATACAATTCACATGGACTCACCAGAATTGGACTGGCAAAATGTTTCCTGGACTTATGTGTTTTGATTTCTGCTGCAAGATTTGGACAATAGGGTAAAAATTTGGTGTAAACGTGAAAACACTGATCCATCTTGCCTTGTATTAACAGTTCAGGTTGCTGGTGGTGTAATGATGTGGGTGTTATTTTCTTGGTATACTGTGGGCTCTTTAGTACCAAATTTAAATACCAAGCCTTTCTGAGTATTGTTGCTGACCATATCCATCCATTCATAACCAGAGTATACACAGAGTGCTGTGGTTTCATGCATATTAAGTTAAGTTCATGAGTTCATAATAAGCAGAGATGGACAGTAACGCGTTACATGTAACACATGGAATGTGCAGAAAATAGGTTTAAATGTTAAACTAATTTCTTCAAGTCAGAGAATGGTGCATATAATTTCATTTTTTTGCTTGATGCATAAAGTTAAAAAATTAAAACTGATAAAACAAGTTTAAAAAAAGAGACTTTTCCATTTGATTACTTTTTGTATGATGGATTATGCAGAAAAAATAGAATTGGGCTGAAAGATCTATCGCTTTATCACCTATTCAGGTTGTAAATTGTGTTTTTAAAAAGTAACTAAGTAACTAAGTAATTTATTACTTTTGAAAATAAGTAATCAGTAAAGTAACGGGTTTAGTTTTTTGGGGAAGTAATCAGTAATTAGTTACTGATTACTTTTTTCAAGTAACTTGAACAACACTGATAATAAGTGTAACTGTATTCTAGAGTGAGCAGATCTCAGTCCAATGGAGCACCTTTGAGATGTGACGGAGCAGGGGACTCACATCATGAATTTGCATTTATTTTAGGAACAATCATATGATCCCCTATGAGCAAGCACTTTGGCGACAGTGGGAAGGAAAAACTCCCCTCTTACAGGAACAAACCTTTGACAGAACCAGGCTCAGGGAGGGGCGGCCATCTGCTGCGACCAGTTGGGATGAGAGAATGTTTCTAGCACCTTGTTGAATGCTTACCACTTAAGGCTATCCCTAATTCTGTTGTTTGTTTTAAACTTCCATTGTTTTCATTCAAATTATGTTCTTTTTATTCTAATTCCATTGTTTTGATTCAAATTCTATTCATTTCATTCTAATTCCATTCTTTTCATTGAAATTCCATTGTTTTCATTCATTCTACTCTTTTTATTCAAATTCTATTGTTTGTTTTAGAATTCTGTTGCTTTCATTCAAACTCTGTTTTATACATTCTAATTCCGTTGTTTTCATTCAAATTTTGTTTTCATTCAAATTCCGTTGTTTCCATTCTAATTCTGTTGTTTTCATGCAAATTCTTTTGTTTGTTCTCAAATTCCGTCATTTTCATTCTAATTCCGTTCATTTCATTGAAATTCCGTTGTTTTCATTCAAATGCTGTTGTTTTCATTCTAATTCTATTCTTTTTATTCAAATTCTATTGTTCGTTGTAGAATTCTGTTGCTTTCATTCAAACTCTGTTCTGTACATTCTAACTCCGTTGTTTTCATTCAAATTCCATTGTTTGTTTTCAAATTCTGTTGTTTTCATGCAAATTCTTTTGTTTTTGATCAAAATCTGTTGTTTTCATTCAAATTCTGTTGTTTTCGTTCAAATTCCATTGTTTGTTCTCAAATTCTGTTGTTTTCGTTCAAATTCCGACATTTTCATTTTAATTCTGTTGTTTTTATTCTAATTCCGTTGTTTTCATTCAAATTCTGTTCTTTTCATTC